AAATTATAGTATGGAGACTACAAAAATCTTTCAAAAATGCAGAAAGAGACAAGAGTATGAAAAGGAAAAAAAAAAACAACTTGTTTATCATTAACAGGTAAAAACTATGCAGCTGATCCTACACACAATTACATGCGTGACTAACTTTAATAGACCCTCAAGTCAAGCACAAGCCCTGAACGTGAAGACCGTAACAATCTTATTTAAAAACTCAAAGTAAGAATGTCATTCTCACTTCAGCCTCCCCCAGTGTAGCAGCTGATGGCAATTCAGGTGGCACAAAATATCCTCGGCAGCTCAAGGCACTTTCAAGCACCCCACCAGCATTCTGTCCTGCATCTGAAGTTATCTTTACTTTCTTGACTCACTTTGTAGTGAAGGTACATAATTCCTTCTGTTATCCACTTGCAAAATCTGATTATGATGTTTTCTTTCACAAAGATCTTTCTGAGAACTTCTAAATATATGATGATCACCTCAAGCTCTCTGAATAAGAAGTATTTGTATGTAAAAGAAGAAAGACTTAATGTACTGGTGGCAACAGCCTTCTCAAATTCAGTGGGTTAATGGCTACAACAAAATATTTCAGAAAAATCAAACAAACTGAAGGTAAGGGAATGCATCTCTTTTCTTTGATGTAAATGTAGGCCTGACTGCAATAGTCATTCCGTATTGTCAATCAAAGCGAGAACGGCATGAGCAGCAATCAAATTTAAATACATTTGGAAGAACACAGAATAAAAAAATAAGAAATTTTCTGTCTTATCCAGTAAAAGTTTCCCTCTAGAACAAACCTATGTATGAATGAGGACTATATACTTAGATCCTTCGGTAGTAAAACATAACAGATGAAAAATTGAAAAGTTTTTCTTATTTCTGCTTTATTTTTGTTTTAGACTACAGACTCCGGCACTGACTCTGAGTGCCTGAGTTCCACTGCACTCTATTAGCTCAGATAAGACAAATTTTTAAAAGCATTCTCTATCTAATGACTAAGCTTAGTTTATAACATTTCATAACTTTTTTTTTTTTTTGGTCATCATCTTCAGTAAGTATTATGTTTAAACAAATAGGCTCTAACATTTCTAGCAAAATTATTTTAGGAATAATCAGCTATAGGAAGGATTCAAGCTGTATACTTAAGCCTTTATATTACATGGATATTCTGCATAGCTAGTTGTGTTATTCATATGCAGTCCCCTGAGAGATTTGGGTATTGCATCAATAAGCGTAACTTCTAAATGTGAATTGGGATTGCTTTTATTAATTTTTCTCCTCCAAGTATAAAATGCAAATTATGAAAAGTAGAATTTGCATCTTAACTTGCCTTACATATTATCTCTGCTTAGCACCTTAGGAAATTGCCAGATATTAAGTTACAGTCAAAGCTTCACAAATGCCATCACAATTAACTGGAATAAGCATAATTTTATTTTACTTCCTGACTCAATCATGCTATGAACTGTAAGAATCATCCTTTGTCGCATTTTAAAACGCATAAATTGTGAGCTATAGTTTGACTCCTATCAACTATAAGTAATGTCTGTTTGCCTAAAGATGCAATTGCTTTCATGATATCTCAGATTGGAAATCAACCCACTATAAAGACAGATAAGTCTGCATCTCAGCAGTTCAGTGGCTGACTATTTATGCTGCATTTATACTTCATCCTGAAGACATAATTATCTCAGCAAATAATTTAACGTTAATTTAGCAAATCTTGTGGCACAAATCCTAGCTCAGTTCTCTGATGATCTTGTGGCTACACTACTTTCACTAAGCTTCTTATTATCCAAGTTTCCTTAAAAATTTTATTTAAGCCTTGAATAAACTGTCAAAGCAATAATAGATGTGCATATAGACAAATACAATTCAACTCCTTTTTCTGCCACTGTACCCACACACAAAGTGTGAGAGAGACAGTGCTCCTTTTGCCCTAATTCCTACGTTAAACAATTTTTATTTGCATTCTTTTCAGAGTTCTTGGTCATATCTAAGTATATGTTTTCATTCCATAAGACTAAATAATTGCCACGTACCTAGCCTCAGAATCCATATATCTAAAATATTTGTGGAAACAGAATCCTGTCATTTGTCATGACTTTGTGTTTACTTAAGATGCTTTTAATTTTAAGCATAAATGGTACTTTCTTTGCAGACTTAACAATCCTAGAAGGAATAAATAAAATCTAAGTTATAATTCCTGTTATGCGATTCCATGATGACTGTTTTGGAAAACACTACAATTAAAAAAAGAAAGAAAAAAAAAAAAAGATTTTTTTTTCAAGAAGTATGTAGTAAACCCTCATATTTGATTTGGAACGACAAAAAGAATATAAGACAATCTAATTCTGCAAAGAGGTATTTTTTTTTCTCATTTACGGTTTTGTATCAACTGAGTTATGATCTAATAATATAAAGGCAACATTATGCACTTAACGTTTGCTTTGTAACTGCTCTTTCATTGCCTAGCAAATATGAAGCAAGCACCAGTGATGTCAGAAAAAACTTGCACAGAAATCACAACTAAATAAGCTTTAGTTTGTTAAAGCTAGAACTGTGGGATATGATTTTATCAGATAGCACCTTAACGTATTTACATCACAGGTAAAGAATCAAGTCCTCCTGCAGGTCTGTGCAGGAGAGTTCAGAAACATGGACTCAGTCATGCATTTGTGAAGGTGATTACAATCTGTCATTTGATCCTTCCGCCTTGCATGTCATGCTTCCAAGATTTGTGCATCTTTCATGTTTGTGATGGAACATTTCCAAAGGTGAAGGAGTTAACTTTTCCCCTTCAAAACAGACTGGAGTGGTCTGCTTAGATTCATAATTTTTCACTAAGTGACACAATACTAGAAAACATTTGGGGCAAGACCTCAATGTACCACAGCTTGAGATAAAATCTTTCATGTCACGAAAGATCTAGCCATCTGTGAGTAAAAATTACAGAAGAAGCTTCATAAAAGTAGACATCTGTACTTACAAACTGGATTACAACACTAATTCTACATTTCCGTACTACTGACAGGCTGAAGAGAAGTAAGAGTTATTAGCCAAGGAAATTGGTTGAGCGCTTGATTAACAGCCAGCAAAAGACATAAGATAAAGTTCAAAAACCAAAAACTGAACATAGACATTGAGAAAAATAATCAGCTGGTAAACAAAGGAGATCCAGTAATTTCTCATCAAATAAAAGTCAAGCACTATCTCTGTATTTTTAATTAAATGAAAGACTCAAAAATATATTTTAGTATTGAGTGATACTATGTTTGATTTCCCAGTCTCTGAGGGATCAGAAAGAAGCATATGGATTTTTATCATTGGAAAAACCTTTGTAAAAGGTATGTCACAAGCCAAAACTGAAACCTGGAGCGCAAAGCAGTTGTTTACAATACAGTTCACATATAATAAATGCAAAAGAAAAGCAGAAACAGAGACCTGGTAGAACGAATCTTTTTTTTAACTAAGCTCTACAAGATGACTAATCATGTGGTAGCCAGCTCTTCAGAATCAGCTTTGACTTGATTTCCTTGATTTTGCAAGCATATTAGAAATGCTCTACACTGTATGAAAAATCTAATGCTGCTCTAAAATTTGCCTAACTAAAAGGAATTAAAACAAAAACATTGATATCATGTCAGTCCTTCCCCAGGGCACAGGACTCAGGGGATTACTCAGCCCAAGGCATTTTTGTTCTCCTTTGTGATCATTTGCCTCTGTATGTTTTCCTTCCACAATCAATACTAAAAAGAGTGAAATTGTATTTCAGGCAAAGACAGCCAGACTCTAAAAATCAAACTGTCTGACTGCATACAATTGGCAAAGAGTGTAGCTCCTTGTAACATACAAGATTATAACAGCACAGAAGTCTAGAATTTGATATTTTTCTAGACTGTTCTAAAAACTAATATTCTTTTACTAATAAAACAGAACCTTAACTTTAAATATCCATTGCCAGCATCAAGTTACAATCTTTTAAGTAAAAGTAAGATCATTCTCTTGCTGATTTAAACAGAAATCTTTGCTAATCATGGGAAATGCAGTCTATCTGTGTCTATGTCTGTTTAAAGAGTTCATTACACACTGCATATTACAGATAAAAGGGTGAAATAATAATTTTCAAGACTAACTTACCATAGATTTTAAAAATTATCCATTTTTGAAGAAAATACTATCAATCAAAGAGTGGCTCTGAGGTAATTCTATGTATAAACCGCATTCATGTCATGTAAAAATATCTCCACGTGTTAAGAGTGACATAGAAACAAAAATATTTTTACCAAGTGTTATAATAAAATCTGAATTGTGTTGAAGATTGATTTTTTTTTTTTAATCCCAAGTGATCTTATTTTTGAAAGAAGTCTATCTGGGTCTATTAAAGATAGTACTGTGAATTTATTTCCACAGAAATTATAAAGACAATATTACAGGATCACTGAGGTTGGATGACACCTCTGGAGATTCTCTAGCCCAATCTCATTTCTCAGAGCAAACTCAACAAGAACAGGTTGCCCAGAATGATGCCTGGTTAGATATGGATTCCTTCCACAGACAGAGACTCCAGAACCACTCCAAGCTACCTATTTCTCTGTTTGACCACCTTCAATGTGAAGAAAGACAATCCTAATTCCTAGAACACAACTTTGTTCAAGATTCCCAGCTTAGTTTGACAATCTAAGTGAATTTTTCTGTGACTGCAGGGTTACTGCATTTTTTGTAGGCCTCAATCTATTCGCTTAAAATTATCTAAGTCATTTAAATGTATCTTATAATCATCACTTCAGAGATGTTCCATATGGAATAATTCCTTGGGCCTGACTACATTTAATCATTCACATCTATTCAAAGCTGCCCTGAATTTGTGTAAATAACTACAGAAGAATGCCACAAAACATTAATTAGGTACCCTGAATATTACGAAACTGCACAAGAAAACACAAAAAGAACAAACATTTATAGAAATAGTAACACCTCAGTACATTTTGAAAATGACTTACTTTTCCTTTGCTAGCATTTCTGTCTCATAAGTTGCTATCTTAGCTTCTGTCCCAGCAGGATTCATTGTTCTTTGTCTCCTCTTTCGTCTTGGAGCAGTACTGATGACATCAGGACTACCCAGTAGGGAATCTCTTCGTTCTGGTGCTGCCAAAAGGAAAAAGAACAAAGTTGACCAAAGTCCTGAAGATAAAATACTAAAGGAGAATTCTTAAACTATTTTTTAAAATTATTAAAATCATATATTTCTAAAATGGACTCCAATTTGATAGCAATTGCTGTCAAAACAAAGTGATTATATAAATGGAAATTCATTAAGACCAAATTCAAATTAGAAAGATGAGCTTCCTTTGATACCTTTGTGTAATCACTGCAGAGTAAGATGAGCAAGTTTGGACTACAAACATACTGCTAGTCTCCTGATGCCTCCGTTTAGATTCCCAGGTGTCCCACAAAGATACTGTATAGATCTCAGTTTCACCAACTTGAAGTTAGTCTTTGTAATCTACAAATTAATTGAGGAAGACATGCATACAGAATGGGAAGAAAGAAGATTGGATGTTTCGCATACTGTATGGTTTTGTTCAGAATCACAAAACTGGACAATGCACAATCAGAATGGAAGAACATCATAGAATTTTTGATATCCATTAGATTAAGTCCTTGACCTTTGTAGTCAAGTACTGTGTTTTGCTATATAGTAGTCATTCAGCTACCACAGACCACCAACCTATAAATCTTTAGGGGTTCTGCTTTTCCACCCTGTAGTCAGAGTGGACAGCCTGGTGTATGTACACAGAGGCAAAAAATCACCCAGGTGGAGCAAACCAGTACATAAAAGTACTGGTACATAACTTTTATTCTAGTCATCAACACTTGCTAAAGTGCTTTTATTTGGTATGCTTGCTTTAAAAATAAAATCTTTAATTATTTTGAAATTTAAAGATAATGACATCCAGAGAAGCACACATTTCAACTGAAATATATCAAACAATAATGTAGTGACTGAGGCCAATGCTATTATGGTAACTTTCATGATTATTACTTTCTGTGTGTTTTAGGAAGGTTTAATCTTTACATGAGTGAAAGCCACCATAATTTGAGATTCTGTATTGAAGTCTTCTACTGAAAGTAAACAGTGGTTTCTAATTTTCATTCCTTTCAAATTTGTTATTCAGCACTACTGAAACTGAAAGAGGCAGAAAATATTCAATAAATATTTTTTGTATTTCTCAAAAAATGGTGTTTCTATGAATTTTGCTAAATGAAACATGCTTAGGCATCGGAAACTCCTTGCTTTTGCCAGCAGGAACTATATGCTATACAGACTTACAGATCGTTGTAGAGTGACAATAAGCATAAGGTGACATATTTCCAAAGTACAAGATAAGTAATGAGTTTCAAAGTTCAGTACAGACAAGGTATGCTGTCTACAATAAATGTTGAAAAAGGTTAAGCTACAACCTAATCCTTTCCACTAATCTTTTACTAGCTATGCATACTTTTCCAGTGCTGTTAAAAACATGTTCATGGCTGTTAGTTACTATTTAGTTATTAGTTACTTACAGCATGCTCAGTATAGTGTACCAAATACGTATACTATCTCATATATTGCAGTTTCAGTTCCTAAAGTCAGTCTCTTCTTAATTAAATACATAAAATAGTTTACAGGGAAAAATCGTGCATACATCAACAAATTCAAATAATTTAGTTATCACAGCTTATATCTTTCCTTGTTGCTGTTCTCCTCTCAGACTCTGTTTTGTTAAAAAGTAGATAAAAAAAATTAACTGTACATGCAAAACTAACACAGTACTGATGTTAAATAATGCCTTTGTACTTCTAATTATGTAATAGATAATGGTGCTCTGTAGACAGGCACTCATGCTCAGGATTGCCTAATATTTGCATTCTTCAACTCTCTCACTGATTTTCATGTAAAGAAAATGAAAGAAAAATGTCAGTCTTTGCTGTAAAATGCATTTATTTCCCAAATTCATGTTGGGAATGCAATCTCATGAAGAGTAGAAGATTGGCTCATGCATAAGCATTCACCACCACAGGCTTCTTTGTTTTTTTTTGCTGTATTTTGTTTTTTAAGCCAAGCTACCTCTATGGTCAGAACCGCTAATAGAAAGATGACATACACTTGAAGCTTAAAGTATCACACATTATCATAAGACTTTAAAAACATACCCACTAGTGCTGCCCAGAAGTGAATGCCATTAAGGGCTTCATTTATAGTACTTGACTAAAGGCCAAAGAAAGCTTCAGAAAAATCTTATTTATTACTTGACACAAAAGCATTTGGAATAATGAGATACATCTTGAATATAAACCTAGTTTTTCGTTCTGAAATCTTTTTTCTTTCTGTCTAAACTTCAACACTATTTTAAAGAATTAAAGATCCTTTACTTCTTACTACTAGTTTTCTTACTTTGAAATTATACAGTTGAATATGAATTATTATTATACACCTGAGAAAACCTGTATCAATTTCTATACAGGAACAAGTGCTGTATGATGAAAGTCAGTTAATAAATCCCATAAAACAACAAATGTTGACCAAGAAAAGGAAATGTTCCAAATATAGCATAAATCTTGAAGGTGAATAGTCAAAAGCAGACAGACTGACATGATAGTAATAAGGGGAAAGACCTTAAGCATTAAAAGAATATCTGTGCAAAGGTTTAAGATTTCAAATAAAAAAGTTTTCTATATTCTTCACTGTCATTTTGAAGAGTGCCATTTGACAGACTGAGGGAGTTTAAAAAAAAAAAAAGAAAAGGATACTGAAAACAGAAAATACATCTCCCATGATGCAGAAAAAACACCAGTACTCGCTCCTAGAGAGTCAAGAGGCTTGGTTTGCAGAACTGTGCACCCATACAGAACAGTTCTGGCCAGCCCACACTCCATGCTGTAAACCTGGCTCCACCTGCAGAACTGCTTGCCTCAGCCAGCACAGAGCAAAATCTTTGCAGCACTGAACCTGCTAGCAACTAGATGGTGCAGACAACCCAGTTAGCTGCCAGCACAGAGGCCATGTCTGAAAATCTACAGAGAGGAACAACTTTCTACTTTTTCCCACTAATTAAAATAATTAGAAGTAAGCTTCATGTGCTATTTTCACATTTTTGGGAAACTGTCAGAAAAGAATAAGCATCTCATATCTGAACTAGATCTCTATAGATACTATGTAATTATTACTATATACTATATAATTAGATTACTACAAATACTACAAAACTACAAATAGTTTTGGACTGCTGTCGTCTCTGGTTCAATAAGGGAGACTAAGCTTGCATTTTTTTCCTGTAAAAGGGATGTTTAAAATGGCTGAGTGAAGCTCAGTCTAGGTCTGTAATATCATAACAAAAACCTCACAGAAAAACAAAAACGGTAACTTTATCTAGATACATACTTTGAAGGAAATGTAAATGAGTTGCTAAAGCACTAGTTGATGAGACACCGTGACTCTTGAAAACCAAAGGCATTTAGAGATGAAAATGTGTAGCTTAGTTAAAGATAGATAGTCCAGTTGTATTTTAAGATATTTATTATCTCTCAGGCTCTTGCATTTCTTTATATTGCTATGCAAAAGTGATCTGTCAAAACAAAAGCAAAAAAACTTCCAATCTATTACATTTACCTATTAACTCAGAAAAAAAGCACCAACTCACCTTCATTCTTTGTACATCATCACCTGTAATGAAAATTCTACAGCTCAGATATGTCTAATTGCTCACAACAGTACTGAACTCACATAAGAAAGTAGAATCCAGCCCTTCTTTGATTACAAGTTCTACTCTCATTAAAGGACTAAAAACAATACTGAAACTGCTTGGTTACATGGGAAAAGGTGAGCAGAATTTCAGCAGAAACATTTTACATTTGAGCAATCTATTTGCCTATAAGGATTTAGCTTCATGTATGCAAAAATATATTCTGAACTCCTGCAAGAAAGTAAGAAGTTGTCATTTATAAGAGTTCAGACATAAGAAACACAGTCATGGACATAACTTTCATGGATATAACTTTCATGGACATAATCTCCTATCACTTTACTCTATTAGATTATACTCAAGATGTAAGAATGGATCTCCAAACTTTAAGACTTCATTTAATTCATTCATGTCACCCAAAACATCTGTTTGCACTGCTATGCATGCTTAGCTAAACTGCTCCTCGTAGTTTCAGATTAAAATCATTCTAATTGTATCTTGAAAATCATCTATTGCTGACTTTTAATGCAACACAGATGAAAGCAGAATCTGTTTCTTTCTATTTACTGTTGAAGATCTTTCTATTTACTGTTGAAGATGACAACAGTGTTCTCATTTAGTTTTTCACCTCTCTTATTGTCTTCTTGCTTCAAAAACACTGGTTTTGATGATCTTAAATACTACTGTTTTTTTTTTCACTTGGTAAAATTGTTTTTTGTTTTAATGTATGTACCCCTCAGCCTGCTGAATTACATTAGAATGAATGGGAAATGTCTTTTGCAAACAGAGCCTTACAGTCATAAAACCTCACCTGGGCATTAGTTCCCAGGCTTATAGAACTGCACTGATTTTAAGTTAACCAGTCACTCCAGAAATAGGGAACACTGAATAATAAAATATATTTAAACAGCCTACTGCCATCAGCTTTATGTTATTGAATTATCAGGACATATGACCATAATTCCAAAACCAATTAACAGTGTCAAATGAGTTCAAGGAAAATATACATTTCTGGCATGGCCCACTAAATAAAACTTATTTAGTACACTAACTTGCTTTGCTAACAATAACTGATTTGAAGTTAGAAAAAAGCTTTTCTATCTGGATTGGGATGGACAGGAAGAATTAGCAAAGGATATGGACACTTCATCTTCAAGAAAAGAATGATCTTTTATTTAAATCATACAGATGTTATACACAGCATTACAAAAGTCTGCCAGTTTTAAATTCTCTTATGAATGAAAATTTATCCAGTTCATTTTCCTTCAGAGTAAAAAGGCTCATTCCTTCAGGGTACTAAGGACTTACAAGTAGTTATTAAAATTTCTTCACATTACCAGACATTAATGCTGCCATTGGTCTCTAAGTTCTTCTCAGAGTCCCCCTGTTAATGGAACAGAATTTCCTTCTTGAATTCCACCT